CCTCTCTGCATAGATTATGTGCCACTTGTAGTTTGGTTATAATAAATAGAAGTCTTCGGATGATTCTTGCAAATAACAACTTCTCCAAATCACAACAGCAACGAGGTCACTCTCCCCTTGCAATAAGATAACAGTCTATTCATAACAATCAACTTATGGTACTAATGAAAAAACGCCTCATTGCCGTTATTTTTGGCCTTTGCATCGTTATTGGGGCCTATACTGTTCCAGTGGATCATTCTAAGAAAGAATATACTTGCCACAATTCTCCCTGTACTTTCTGGTAAGCATTGACAGATAGTAGAAATAAAACATTTGTATTATTCATATACAAATTGTTTCGTATGTTGTAGTTACACTTTCCGTAGTCGATCAACACATACCAGAACGAGTTTTCTGCCGACGACAACAACTCAAAGGTATTTACTTTTGTTATAGGTGTTGTGCAAGTTACATGCCGTATATTTACTTCTCCATCATTTACTATCTAGTGCAAGCGGTTCCGTAAGTCTGGCAACAAAGACAGTTACGATGACAATGACTGCAACACCGTCGGTTTCACTAGCAGCAATAGCAACGACTTCACTACCTATCCAGTCTCCTAACGATATACCGAGAGAATATAGTTCGATAGACGTGATACTATTTGGCATTGCTAGTATTGTAATCACTATAATTATGTACCTTAGAGGTAAAGATGGCATTTTTAAAATTGTTTGTTGCTGCAGTCGGGCTAACGACGTAGGACAAGAACCAGAGATTATTAATGATAGTAGCAATACTTTAGACATTATTGAGCTTTATGACGTTTAGGGAAATTTTAAATGAAATTATTGATTACTATTATATTAATATGGGTTGCAAAACAGCAGCATCACTCAAAGCACCATATACTAATAAGGAAATAATCGAATAGCGGCATCTATTATTTAAGCTCACCGATTCTGATTGGACGAGTCTTGATAAACGGTTTAGGGATTGACTTTTTGTGTGCATGCTTTCGCCACTTTATACACTAGTCCAAATTAGTCCATTCCAGCATCGATCAGGTGCATTTTAAAACATGCGTTTACTCTATTGTCATGCGATTGCTGTTATAATTTGTGTTAGTTATAATAGAATGTGCTGTACGATAAAAAAGTCATTTTATGTTCGAAAATCCCAATATAAAAAGATTCTCCCTTTAGCGGTTGCCAATAAAGATCCTATAAAAACCAAAAAATATTCTCCCTAATACTTGACTCTTTCTCTCTTCCGACAGTTTATTCTAAACTCAAATAGAACCCACACTTTTGTTCACAACAAAGCGGTAACAACAATGAAAAGATACGTTATTGAAATTATTCTCATTTTTTGCATCGTTATTGGAAGTTAAGTTGTTGCAATAATAATTCTGAGGAAGCATACCGTTCCTTCACTTCCTGGTAAGCATTTGACAAGCAACGACGACAATAACGTAAGCGCTATTTACGCACAAATTGTTCATAAATTTAGGTATGCTTTCCATAATCGATTAACGCATACGAGAACAAGTTCTCCGTTGACAACAACAACTCAAGGGTATTTATTCCTTTGCTATCAAAAGTGACGCACTTTAACTGCCATGTAATTTCTCTGTCATTTACTATCTAATGCAAACTGTTCCTTTGGTTATTCAGCCACGTCACTGAGCAGTAAATTTATTTGCATAACTTATCACCACAGTGAGGACGCCTTATCGACTCCTAAATCTTGTTTCTCTATCCAATTTGAATAACGTCTTTTGTTTAGTAGTAAAAATGTTAAGGGTTGGTATTAGTATAGCGTACCCACAGGTTATGATCATCGACACCTTCATTTATTGCTATTACAATTTGCCATGTCCGATAACGCTAACACCGCAATACCCAAGATACAGTGAACCCTCTATAAATGCATTCTTCATAAATACATGCCAGTGATATTTATGTGATTTTTATTGACAATCTAGACACAGACAAGAGTGCAACAAAGATACGAATCCTGATCGTCTAAGCTTTATTATTATCCTGCATCATGGTCTTAATTCAGTAACACGATTCGTTCATTTCTGCTGCTACAACAATACTTAAAGAGTTATTAAACATGTAAAGTACTCACTAACTTTAAAATTTTTTGAGTATTATACGGTTACCAATATCAAATAAACGTTGAATCTCCATAAACGCATTTCTCCTAAATGCACGCTCCGACTCATTCCCAAGGGCGTACTTTTAACTGTCTATCATAATTAGCAACCAAAGTGAATATCGGACTTGTCTATCGTTCTTCAACACATTATTTACTAACGGATGGGTAAATCCATGCAAATTATGCTTGTTTAAAAGCATGACTAAAAACCTAACACCAATGTGCGTATTAGCACATGGTGGCTCCAGCCGCCGCATTTTTTGGAAGTCGCGAAACAGCAATCAAAAAACGCAATTAAGCACTAGTTTGCTTCAAAAATAACTTATACCGATTCTACCAAATACTCTTCTATTCTTCTATCAAATCAGATGTCGATGAAGGCAGCCCGCTTTACGATCGTTCAAAAGATGCGAGACAATTGTCGTGCTTTGGTTATTGTTTTTTTGCGATCACTAGCTACCTCCGAGCATGTTTTCAAACTCTGGAGTGCTGAAGCAATTATAACGTCGATTCATAATTAGTTGAACACAACAAGCTTTCCTTTCCATATGTTCGAAAAGCCGTCTTTTTTTGTCCTAATCAATAATTGCAATGAAGGCAGCTATACTGTAACTAGCGTTTGCTACATGTCAACAAGTTTTAATTGTAACAAACAGAATATTATCAACCCTTTATTCAGTGAGGAAAAGTTCGATATTGGTAGAGGAAGAAAACCCAGAGCAATTACATCTGGTTTTAGCACTTTTATTACAGTCAAATACAACCGATTTCTTTTTGCGCAACTCCCCAACCAAATGGGTTTCCTGGTATGGAAACACAATGCAATTTTTTTTTATATTGCATTTCAAAAAACGTATATTTAATAACATATACCGCATGGTAAGATGCGGGACAATTAATAGTGACCAATACTTGTGATGCTAATAGATGAAAACAAGCAAACAATTACGATTTAGCACAAGCTGGTAACCAACCACCCCACCTTACACTCTCTAAGATGAATATATTAATACTTATGTATGATAAATAGATGAATATACCTGTGACGTTATTAGTTTGCAGCTGTGGTGTTACCCAACGAAATAAGTCTACCAGATAGTTTCGACGGCACAAGTATTGTATTGCATTGAAATGTTTCGGATCTAAAAACACAAAACAGTCGACGGAGTACAAAAACCAGACACAGGCGATAGTAGTAATACCATGGACGTTATCGAACTTTATGAAGCGTTGCTTTTTCCTGTCACGCACTGAGGTCCATCATCAAATAATCGTCAATTATAACTGAAACGAATAATTGCATTGATATCTATGACTCTTAGAGAGTCAGTCTGCCATTTTTGAACATTTAAACTGGAGAGTTCTGTTGTTGCCTTAAGAGCAATAATTGTAATTGATGTAAATTTTATTCTGCAAAACCGTCTTTTAATTGGGGTAAGATTAGTGACGACCAACAGCAAATGACAATTCGGTAAGAGTTATTCGAAAATAATAGTAGATAAAAACAAAGACTGCAAATACCACTGGCGATGTCAAATCTAATACTAAATTCGGCAGATTAATGTCAATTTTCAAGTCTAATTGCGTTTTTAGCCGTAATAAAAAATATAACGCACGTGACAGACATACTCCGTTTTTCCTCTGAATAACAAATAACCAGTGATCCATAAATAATTTCATTTAAACGTTCTTGTCCCATGTCGTTGGATCGACTGACTGCAAGCAACAAACAATTTTTAAAACGCCATCTTTATCTCTATGATGCATAATTATTGTGGGAGCTGATGCTGAAATCTGAAACCATGATCTTTCATTGGTTGATCAGATTCTATTCTCTAACCCCATTGGTTAGTTTCAGCTTCAGCCGCCGCGACAATTGTTATAATTACAATACTAACACCAAACAGTATCACGTCTATCGAACTATATCGGCAATCGTTAGGAGACTGAATAGGTAGTGAAGTCGTTGCTATTGCTGCTAGTGAAACCGACGGTGTTGCAGTCATTGTCACCGTAATTGTCTTTGTTGTCAGATTTAAGGTACCAGACCAGATAGTAAATGACGGAGAAGCGATTATATAGCATGTACCTAAAACATATGAAATCATCTGTATGTAAATAGTACACACGGTTTATTTCTACTATCTGTCAATGCTTATCAGGGACTGCTGGGAGAATTGTGGCATATGTCAGTCTCCAATGGAAGAATTCGATGTATCGCTGAGCGATATTTGCTTTTGTAATGGAAGAGAGCGAAAAGTCAGCTTGGTATATGTGAGAAAGAGAAGAATTCGAAGGGTTTGTGGGTAAAGCCGGAGCTAGCTGATAAGTCGAGT